AAAAAATAAAATAAAAAAAAAGAAAAAAAAGGGGGACCGGGGAGGGATAGGTCCTAGGAGGAATGAAAGTGCCAGAAATCTCCCTCCGCGCCCAAGAGGACCTCAGCACCGCAAGTAGCGCAGATGCAGCATGGAACCCGTGCCATACCCTACCCATCATGCTAGTAAACTAACAATCCGGGATAGCAACCTCACATCTGCCGAGCTACCTCGGTGGACAAAAGAGAGGGCGGCCGGATATCCGCCACAAAGCATACCTCCTTCGGCCACCACCCCCGGAATCCGAAAGGTGGCTTCCAGAGATACACTCGTCGCCCGAAAGACACCCAAAGCTACTCCGGGATACCGGAGAGGGATCGGGACATCCCCAGGCAATCCAGATTCCACGGCAAACTACGCTACCGCTAAGAACCTCAATGGAATGGGATGGACCCCGGTATCCTTTCCTCCACCTAGGAATTAGCGCGCCTGTGGGAGAAATCCCAAAGGACAAAAAGAGGAAGGGCAAAAGGGAGGGGTGGGGAGGGGGAGGAGGAAAGGAAAAAGGGGAAGATGGGGAGGATGGGATAGGGGAGGGGAGATTGGGGGGTAATTAGGTTCGGTCTGAGGAAGAAGACCGATAGGTCTAATTCCTCAATGCCTGCACTTTATAGGAGGGGTTTGGGATATTGGCAGTTTGGAGGGATATGTTGTGTATCTTTACACGTCAGTATATACTTCTAAGCTGTTGTATTCTGAGCACCTCTGCAAAAACAGTGATAATGTGCGAGTGTGGTGAAAGTGTTGAATGATGATGAAAGTATTTTCTTTTTGGGGATTTTCTTTCTTTTTTTGGGTCACCCTGCCTCGGTGGGAGACGACCGACTTGTTGAAAAAAAAAAAAAAAATTTTTTTTTTTTTTTTTTTTTTTTTTCAACAAGTCGGCCGTCTCCCACCGAGGCAGGGTGACCAAAAAAGAAAGAAAATCCCAAAAAGAAAATACTTTCATCATCATTCAACACTTTCACCACACTCGCACATTATCACTGTTTTTGCAGACGTGCTCAGAATACAACAGTCTAGAAGCATACACATATAAAGATACACAACATATCCCTCCAAACTGCCAATATCCCAAACCCCTCCTTTAAAGTGCAGGCATTGTACTTCCCATTTCCAGGACTCAAGTCCGACTATATGAAAATAACCGGTTTCCCTGAATCCCTTCACTAAATATTACCCTCTCACACTCCAACAGATCATCAGGTCCCAAGTACCATTCGTCTCCATTCACTCCTATCTAACACGCTCACGCACGCTTGCTGGAAGTCCAAGCCCCTTACCCACAAAACCTCCTTTACCCCCTCTCTCCAACCCTTTCGAGGACGACCCAAAATATATATATATATATATAAAATATATATATATATATATTAAATATATATATATATATATATATATATATAATATAATAAAATTATATATATATATATATAAAATAATATATAATCTAGGTAGAGGTGGTAGACAGCAAACCGCCAGGGAGGTACTACCGTCTGCCAAGTGAGTGTAAACGAAGCCTTTTAATTGTTTTAACATGATGGTAGGATTGCTGGTGTTTTTGTCGTTCATAAATGCAAGATAAAAGGTAAGTCTTGTACTCTACTTACACTTAGGTCACATAAAATACATGTACAAGCATATATATAACACCCCCTGGGTTTTCTTTTTTTTCTTTCAAATTCTGTTTTTGGGTTTATTTCCTCTTAACTCCATGGGGAAGTGGAACAAAAATTCTTCTCGGGTAAGCCATGGTGTGTAAGAGGCGACTAAAAATGCCGGGAGAAGGGGTAGTAACCCCTTCCCCTGTATATATTACTAAATTAAAAGGAGAAACTTCAGTTTTTTCTTTTGGGCACCCCGCTCAGTGGGTACGGCTGGTACGTTGAAAGAAGAAGATATATATATTTTTAAATTATAAATAAATTTTAAATAATATAAATATATTAAAATATTTTATAAATAAAGGAATTTAAAATAATATATATAATAAAAATAAAGATATATATTAATAAATATATATTATATAAATGATTTAGATAAGAAAAAATTGGATATCAAATTGGGAAGAGGAGTTTTTTGGAAGGTTTTTTCGGATACTTGGGGGAGTTGACGTGGCCTATGGTTATATTGAAGGATGAGGTTAATACATGAATTGATGGGGAAAAAGGTGAGTGGTGTTTTTTGAGAGTAATATTTTGGACCCAAAAAACGTTATCTATGGAGGCAAAGAAGGGAATGTATGAAAGTATAGAAAGTACCAACAACTTATATGGGGTGAAGTTGGGTGGTAAATGCAGCAGCGAGGAGAGCGGTTGGAGGCAGCGGAGATTCCTGTTTAAGGGCAATGTGTGGTGTAAATATTATGCAGAAAATTCGGAGTGTGGAAATTAGGAGAAGGTGTGGAGTTAATAAAAGTATTAGTCAGAGGGCAGAAGAGGGGTTGTTGAGGTGGTTTGGTCATTTAGAGAGAATGGATCACAGTAGAATGACATGGAAAGCATATAAATCTATAGGGGAAGGAAGGGGGGAGGGGTCGTCTCGAAAGGGTTGGAGAGAGGGGGTTAAAGGAGGTTTTGTGGGTTTAAAGGGGGTTTTGGGCTTCCAGCAAGCGTGCGTGAGCGTGTTAGATAGGAGTGAATGGAGACGAATGGTACTTGGGACCTGACGATAGTTGGAGTGTGAGCAGGGTAATATTTAGTGAAGGGATTCAGGGGAAACCGGTTATTTCATATAGTCGGACTTGAGTCCTGGAAATGGGAAGTACAATGCCTGCACTTTAAAGGAGGGGTTTGGGATATTGGCAGTTTGGAGGGATATGTTGTGTATCTTTATATGTTTATGCTTCTAGACTGTTGTATTCTGAGCACCTCTGCAAAAACAGTGATAATGTGCGAGTGTGGTGAAAGTGTTGAATGATGATGAAAGTATTTTTTTTTTGGGGATTTTCTTTCTTTTTTGGGTCACCCTGCCTCGGTGGGAGACGGCGACTTGTTGAAAAAAAAAAAAAAAAAAAAAAAATATACACACAAACACACACATACATTTTTTAAACACAATGGCCATCTCCAACTGAGGCAGGGTGACCCAAAGAAGAAACACTTTCACAATCAATCAACACTTTCACATACATACATACATCTACATGCAAAATAACCACTGTGAAAAAAATATTGAATTTTCAAGCACTTTTGTGATATCTCACTTAGCACAAAAGAACTTGGAAATTTCACAATTTTTTGTTTCCCCAGTGGTTGTGTGCATATGTGAATCCTGTTTACTGTGATCTTATGCAAATATCTACATATACACACGGAATACATAATTATCCTATCAAGGTGTTACATTTCTAGGACTCTCTCTTACGGTGATGCTACACAGATTTGCCTCGTCACCTTATTTTTATAGGTGCAAAACCCGACATATCCACTAATAAAATATTATAAACCAATATGCACTACAAAAAGCTTCTGGGAAACCACTGCTTTCATACATAATTGTACCATATTTTTAGATCTATTTCATCGCTTAATTTGAGCGAATAATTTTTAAAAAATTACCCAGATTAATATCTTTTCTATAATTGACCTTGATCTGAATATTTAATTTATAAATAATTCAGCTATAACTGTAAAATTATACACTGTTTTACCTTGCATTTAAATTTATGTTAAAAGCATTATATGCTTACAAAAGCAATGTTTTTTAAATTTTAGGGAGGTTTCCCCAAGATAATAGAACAATGCTTTTAAAAAAAAAATTGTAAAAAAATAAATATTCACAAAGTATCTCTGGCTGTACATGAAATACATCCAGCAGCAGGTGAAAGGTAAGCAGTTACACAGAGTCAACAGTGCAGGCACTTCCATAACTCCTAATGCGGCTTCTACAGAACAGTGTATGCTGCACTCTGGCCTTTAAATAAAAACAAATCTTTATTCCAAAATAAAAGCCATATTCCAAAATTAATACTGATGAGAAATTACAAATACACCAATGTGAACAGACCCATTCCATTTAAAATGAACATGCAATGACTTGCATGTTTAAATACTATACTGTATAAAAAAATATTAATTATGGAATGAAATATCAAGTAAATTTTTCTATTAGTTGCTTATTAAAACACACAGTCTAAATTGAACAAACTATAGCTAGCTGCAGTTCTAATATTTTTAATGTCTTTGTGTGGGTGAACATTGTGATTATAAACTCTACAAATGTGTGAAGTTATATGTATTGTGCATACATATACATACAGTATACACACGTAGTATGCATGCATATTGTGTGTGGTATATGTAATATACATTCATGTATGTGGGTGAGATTAAATTTTTGTAGTTACTGGAGCAGAGTTATGCTCGTGGTGTCCTGTTTTCAGGGATTAATTTGTCATGTAATTCATAAACCTTTGTGATCTCATTTTTGTATTCTTCTATACTATTTGTGAAGAAAAACTAGTTTCTTTTCATTAACCTATTTGTAGTTACAGTCTTTAATATCAATTTGTTTTTCTCAAAAAATATACCTATGAGGATTCTTTTTTCTTGTAATCCAGAGAGACCAGTTAAAACACAAAAACTTAAAACCTTAACCACCTGAGGAAACAATATTATGAAAGTGCCCAATGATGCCATCAGTGCTACTACCCAACAGAAGGGCTATCAGTGCCAGAGGAGCCACCATCTGTTGCTGACAGTACAGCACCCTTATCTCCTTTCTTTTTGCCTTTGCTTAACAGAGCAATCTCACGATTTTGTTCGCGTATCTTCTTCTGGAGAATTTCAACTTTACTGTCGTAGTCACGATTAACGTTCTTCATTTTTTGACGAAGTTCCTGTTCAATTGTGAACTGGGTCGCTTTTAATTCAGTCATCTGTAATAGAATTAGGACATGGTATTAGGATAAAAATATTGTTTTATTCCTAGACATAACAAATGCATTACAGTATCTTGGACCCTTACAGATTTAGAGATAGGTTATGATTATAATGATACAGTATCTTGGGCCATGTATCACATGTACCGAGAAAATTCTGAAGATGGTACAGTACTTAAATTGTGAATGAACAACCACAATGCTGTATGATTCATATTTAAATGACCTAATAATATACAGTAAACATATTGCTGAAATACTTAATTCAAAGCACTTAAATATTGAATTGAATTAACATCTGTAATATCCAAAATGGAACATTTTAATATTTTTACCACCTTGTGGTATTACTGACTCAAATCATAAAATTCTCATTTATACCTATTCACTGTAAACATAATATATTATTATTAACCACTAGAGCTATAACAATATACTACTGAGGCCTGGTCGGGGACCAGGCTGCAGGAGCTGTGACCTCCAGAAGCGACTCCAAGTAAACAATGAGACATGAGTTTCAATTCATTAACCAAAAATTTTCCTTATGATTTTAGTAAATATATTGTAAATCTCCACATAGATAAACAATAGCAGAATTGGCTATATCTTCCAATAACAAAAATTAATGCATATAATACAGCACAGTGCTCCCTGGAATTACGATTTACCCTCGTTGAGGAATTTTGTTTGGAGTTGTGATTAAAAATTGGAGAAACAACATGCATACAGTGGTACAACTGCTGAGAGTTACGTCCTGGGGAACAAGATTAACCTAAGTTGCCCGAAATGCTCTGCATAACCAAGGCTTTCTATATTTAGTAGTATGTCACTGATGTCAACTATGGTCTGTAATAGTTTTATCATGTACTGTACTTGTAGAATTATGCCTGGCAACACAGCCAACTGCATACACTCACATTTCCCTTGTCATAATACTCGCCTGTTTTTCCTTCGCCAAAAGCTGAGCATCTTTGCCAGATAGCTGCTTTTCAAGTCGAGATATCTGCTCTCGTAGCTGTGTGATAAGAACAAGCTGATCTGCTGTTCCTGGGTCACTATCACGTGTAGGACCTACATTCCTAGAGACCTGCAAAAAATTAAAAAAAAAAATCTCATTATTCCATCACAGAAAGCTTATGTCAGAATGACAATTCCTCAACTATTGTTAAATAGTATATACCTAAATTATTGTTAAATATAACCTATATATTAAAATAATCCAAGTGTACAATATTCTTTAATTTAACAGAATTTCAAAACTTATAAAATTTGAATTAAGGAAATCAAACACTAAAGGTTACTTTTTTTTTCTAAAATACATTGTTTTTACCTATAATAAGTAGCAGTACTTTCCCACTGGTACATATTACTTGCTTTCTAGACTGCTAGTGTAAAAAATATACATTCATGATTTTGTGTTGTTTAGGCCTTATAGTCTGGTAAATCTTACGCATGCTGTACATAATAAAAATGCATATAAATAAATAATATATAACAAACACACACACACACACACTCACACACATATATTTATTTATTTTAATACCCCAGCCATCTCTCAGCGAGATAGGGTGACCCGAAAAGACAAAAAACTTTCACAATCAGTCACTCTATCACTGTCTTGCCAAAGATGTGTAGATACTACAGTTTAGATGTAGAACATCAGAAGTCGGCCTCACCATCTTATTTGATACTATATATTTATTAATATGCAACTGTACATGCATAAATTATAAAACATAAGATAATAAAACACTTTTAACAAACTTATCTAATTTGAAAAAGAGCATAATTGGTAGAGTGATCTTTAACAAATTTGAACATGAAAATAGTTTCTTTATCAGATGATTTGAAAAGTGAAATTTGCATGTGGAAAATGCTAAGAAAGCTGGTAAGTGCAATTTTTTTGATTAATTAATAAAAAGTTACTAACAATAAATGCTGCACTTTTTTGTTTATGTCAGTCAACAAGGAAAAAATCTTTCTTTTATTTTCAAGCTCATTAGCCACATTTGCACAAAACTTCCATTGTCTACGTTTAAGATTTACAATACTGTAGCTTCAATATTCTCATCTCTAGTAAGCAATCCACACTGCTACACCATACCTATATGCACATTGTACTGGTACACTAAGGCTCACAGCTACATATCTAGAAAAAATCTGCCAACATGTACACACCTAACATTCCATACCCAACTATTCTGGACTACCCTATGCTTTGAAAGTGTCTCCCACTCTTAATAAAGGCTCTTCCCCTTATTTTTTTTTTATTTTTTTACATTACCATCTCAACGGAACTTCACTGCCAAATATATAAACCTATTCATAACTTGTTAAGCTTGTCCAATAAAATTTTCCATTTCTACAAACAACCTCTAACAAACTTCATCACTCTGTATAAATCCATCAACAAAACATAGTATGTACCATCATCTAAACAAATAATTATTAACTGTAATCCTATCACAGATATGTCTTATCACAATCTGCCAATTCTTTCTGGGCTGCTTTTATTGGTTTACAATTGCCTCTTATTCTCCCTGTTGATGTTGCTAAGAAGTCTTTTTATATCTATTTTGTGTATCCTTTTATACATGTTTATCATATTGTTTTCCTGTCAGCCAAAGAGAGCATTTTCAAAGCTTTTTTATTAAGCAATGGGAACCTTTGTAATATCTCTATAATGTTTCTCTTATTTACCTTCTTGATGTAGAGACCACATTATCATTCCATAATCCCAACATGTAATGTTTGTCTTAAACAAATTGGCCTTATTCTACTAAGGTAGTATATGAACAGCAACTGTAGCATTTACCCATTCACAGAATTGAAGACTCTTTCATAGGCTGCCACTGTAGCATTAAGTTTTTCACTATTCAATTTGTGTGATCCTTAAGTGACAATCTTTTAGTCTATAAATATTCCTGTATTCCTTTCCCCTCTTTCACTTTTCATATTTTATCACACAACTTATAATTAAGTGCCCTGTAACTAACTGCTTGTAAATCCTACATGAATTTCTCACAAATGGTGTGCAGCAAATTTCTTGATTAAAATTAGGCTAGATTATCCTCTTTCAACAAAAATTAACCAATTGTAACATACCACAACACCAAGAAATGAAATGTAAGATAAAGGTGATAAAGTTCTGATGGACTGAGAACATGGATCCATAGTGTGTACTAGAAAAAGCCAAGTCAAATAATCACAGTTTAAGGCTCATTAAAGTCAGACATATGACTGTCTTAGTAACAGTAAAATACTTCTTAAGAGGAGGGGCTGCCAATTCCTATTATGCAGCATCTATCTACATTATCTCCATTATTGTGTATGTAATGTGAGGTTTTCAAGACAACCGGCAATCAAACTGTAGGCCAAGAAATCTGATCATATCACACACAGGGATTCGTGAGCCATACAGGTACAATGGAGTATCAGGGACAATTGAACATCTGGTGAAAGTAACTGTTTGTGTTTTAGCACTAGAAAATTTAAACCCATGAGTAGTGGCCCAATGGGAGACACTATTGACAGCTTTCTGGAGAGAGGCTGCTACTAGGTGCCAGTCAGCGCCTGCACAAGCTATAGCGAAATCATCAACATAGACTGATGACCAAATATTAGATAGGAGAACAGAAATCAGATCATTTATAGCAAGAAGAAAAAGGGTGGTGCTAAGGACACATCCCTGAGGAACACCTTCAGCTTGGACAAAGTCTGGGGAAAGCAAATTACTAACCTGAACATGGAAATGTCTCTCAGATAAGAAATTTGCAAGAAAAAATGGCAGACTGCCTTAGAGGCCTAAGGAGTGAGCTTGGGCCAAGATGTTATACCTCCAAGTAGTGTCATAAACCTTTTCAAGATAAAAAAAAAGACTGCTATAACGGAGTGGTTATTAGCAAAGGCATCACAGACATAGGTATCTAAACGGAGTAAGGGGTCAATAGTAGAGCGGCCCTTACAAAAGCCATATTGATGGGGGGAGAGACTATTGTGTGTTCCTAAATACCACACCAAACGTCTATTTACCAGATGCTTGATCACCTTGCAAACTGCACTGGTGAGAGCAATGGGACGATAGTGCGAAGCAGCATGTCCTGAGGTACTTAGTTTATGAAAAGGTTTATAGCAGATTTCCACAGCTGGGGAAAAACTCCTCGAAACCAAATAAGATTGAAAAGACGTATGAGGACTGTAAGGGCTGACGGATGCAAATGCTGAAACATGCAAATATGAATGCTATCAGGCCCAGCTGCCGATGATTGGCAAGTGGAAAGTGTGGATTCTAGTTCTAGAAGTGTACAAGGCACATTATAGAGCTCTTCTCTGCTAGAAGAAAAGTCTAAGGGCAGTAACTCTCTGGCAGGCTTGGAGGAAAGAAACGAGGGGCACACATGGAGCCCTTTAGAGATACAGACAAGACAATTTCTGATTTCTATGGCAATGTCAAGAGAGTTTGCAACTCTGACACCGACAACCTGGAGAATGGGAGCAGGGTCTGGAGAGAACTTCCCACTCAGTTTCTACACTTTTTTCCAAACTGTACTCACTGAGGAAGCAGAAGTAATGGTAGAAATAAAATCTTGCCAGCAAGTGCATATAGCTTCACGGATTACATGTAGGGTGACTGTTCTCGCCCGTTTAAAATCAAGATGTTCTGTGGTTCTATTGTAATGATATCGGCCCCATGCAGCATATTTCAAATGTACTGCATGAGCACAAGCAGGAGACTACCAAGGCACGCATTTCTGAGAACGGTTGCTTGAGATTTGAGGTATAGAATGTGAAGCTGCGGTTAAAACTGAGGTGGAAAACAAGCATAATAGCTCATCAGTAGAGGACAAAGAAGGGTCCTCACTAAGTGCAGTTTGGCACGAGTACAGATCCTAATTTGCACGCTCAAACTGCCAATGTGAGTTTCGAGGAGGGTGAGAATATGAATGGAAAGTAAGAAGGGTAGGAAAATGATTGCTGTCATGTAAATCTGGGAGCACAGACCAGGTCAAGTCAAATGCAGTTGACACGGAACAAATAGAGAGATTAATACAAGAGAGAGACTGAGTACGAAGGTCAGTATTTAAAACATGGAGGGGAAGAGAAGTGAGAAGAGCCTCTAACTGATAGTCATGAGTCACAGTGAGACCCCTCCCACCAGAGGAAATGATAAGCATTAAAATCACCTAATAACAGAATAGATGGTGGTATAAAAAGAAACAAGATACACATCTGGGATAGATAATGCTCGAGAAGGGGAGAGATACAAAGAACACACTGTATACCACTTGTTCAAGTAGATGTGAGCTGCTGTGTAATGCAGTGAAGTATGAATGAAGACCTGATGGTATGGTATACCAATGCACACACGAAGTGCACTTTCATTAAAGGTTCCATCAGGATAAGGATCAGATGAATGAAATAAAACATAGCCCGAGACAGGATGGATAACAGCAGAGCATAATTTAGGTTCTTGTAAACAGACACAAACAGGGGAAAACTGGGAGAGCAAGATCCGAAGTTCACCACGATTACCCCTGAGGCCTCAGATATTTCACTGTAAATAAGCCGTGATTTGCAAGAAAAGTATACCGGAATATGAAGCAGTAGGTGTCTACAGGCTAGTAGGGGTATGAAAGTCTTCGTGTGGAGGTAGGAGAAAATGAGTAAGCAGCAAAGGACTGGAACGCTGTGAAGGTGGTTTAGACGAGTGAGAAGAAATGGGAGGTGGATCAGTGTCCATCAATGGTTTTGTCTTCAAAATATATTCGGAGATAGCTTCAAGTGTTTCAGAGGACAAGGAAGTTGCATGTAAAATGACATCAGGGGTAGAAGGGGGAGGATGAGTAAAGATTGGAGAGCTGATGGAAAATACCAAAGAAGGGGGAATTGAGAGGGTAGAGTTAACTTGGGAGAGGACAGGAGAGGAGGGGGCCTGTACGAGGGGGAGGATGAACCTCTATGCTCATAACAGAACTAGTAAGAGGTAAAGAACTAGGTAGAGAGATTGGAAAGGAAAAATATTTGGAAAAGTTATGTTTGAACTTTGGGGATGGTTTAGACTTCAAATAAGTAGAGAGACGAGAG